CTAGTTATTTAAGAAATTCATGATTGATAACACATTCTGATACTTTAGTATCCACAGTTAAATCTATAAAAGTCTTTCTAACTTTGACTTCATATCAGACTGAGATTATTTTGATCTTCTGGATAAATATTATTTTTCATTTAAGTTTCCTCTGTGATTCCTTTCTCATTTCTTTTAACATTTGGATTCTTTATTTAAATGATATCTTGATAAGCTGAGTAATAGTAATGTTGACTTTCTGAGATATTAAATCTTCAAGTATATTATAGGTTCCAGCTTTCTTAGTCAGAACTGGAAGATGGGCTCTTCTTTTCTTTCATTTCTTCTTTTTCAAGTTGATCTTATCTTCTTCAAGTACTTCAGGTAAAGGCTAAGTAACTTCATTTTCTTTTTCACTTTCTTCTTCTTCTTTGATCACTCTGACTCATTTTCTTTTTCCAGCTAGATAATCATAAGTTACTAATAATGAGGAACTAGATTGGGTAGATAAATCATTAGATGGATTATTACTAGAGGCTTGCAAAGCAGCTATTAAATTTTGAATTTAGATGAGAAAAAAAATAATATTTAGATTTTGTGAATTATTGAGTTGCTGATTATAGTTTTGGGTGTTCTGATTTTGCTGATTATTGTTATTACAGTTGTTACTCAGATTTTGATTATTCTAATTTTGAGAAGTATTTTGATTATTAGATGGCTGATTTACTGATTAGAAGTTGTTTAGACAAATTTTACTGACATGTCCTTTTCCTTCACAACTGTAACAGATAATAGAAAATCTGTTATTTGGCTAATTTTATTACTGATTATTATTATTATTCTGATTATTGTATCTTCTGCCAGATTTTACATGATCTAATCTACTGGTCAGATCTTGCAAGATCTTGGCTAGAGCACTCAATTCATCAGTTGATTAAGCTTGAGTTTAATGATAAGTTTGTTTGAGTGGGTCTGAATCAGCTTCTTTCACATTCTTTACAGTTTCAATTCTAATTTATCTTATCATTATTACATCTTATAAGATGAATAGAATTTAAGAATAAATTGAGAAGTGAAATCATATTCATCATGATCTTGATTTGTTCATTCATTTAATCTAAGGGTATCACTTATAGATTATTGGTCAAATCAGGTAGTAGCTGGTCTCTCTAGATATCCTCTTACTATCTCAATTTTTCTGTTATTGATAATTTCATTAGCTTTGATAGCTACTTCAAAGTCATGTAACTATTCAATTGAATCCTAATCATTATCCTTAAATTTATGAATTAAAATAAGAATCTTCTCTATTCTTTGTATTTTTATAGATCGAGTTAATTCTCAAAGAGCTTGAATAAAACTTTCTATTCCATCTGACATGATTATTTCTCTCTTTGATTGAGTTTTCTGAGGTTGAATTTATTTAATTATGACTATTAGTTCTTCAGAATCTTCTAAATCACTACTTTCATATTCTGATTCTGTTGGCTGATTAGTTGAGGGTGTTTCAAAGTTGTCTGTTTCTTCAAGAACAAGAAGAATACTATTTACTAGATAGGTTTATTATTCAACTATAATTTTGATTCCAAATATGAAGATGTTTAATAATTTGATAATTTCTCTTTAAAGTTGATTTGGTGTAAGATTTTGCTATATTATATTATCAAAAAGTTTCTGTAAGAGTCTGTTATGTGAGATCATGTGATAGTCTTGAGTCCAGATGAGAAAATTTACAAATTTTCTATCTGAATTTTTGTTGACAGAAAAATAATAAGAGTAATAGTTATATAATTCAATATATGATGAGAATTTCCAAGGATCTTCTCTGTCATATTCACTGAGATGTAGATTAATTAGAAGTTCAATAAAAGAGTAATATATACTCATAAATTGATAAATTATTTAGGTAACTAATACTTCAAGAATAACTAATTCTTAAAATAATAAAACAAATAATAAATGAAAATAATATAAACAAGTTAACTAGGATCTTGAGATTTATAGAGAAGGCATCAAATATTACAAACTATACTCTGGAAGGTAGATTTTATCATGAATATAATTTATAATAAGTTTTGAGAGTGAAGACTGAATTATTTATAAAGGTTAAGAGAATAATAATTATTCTAAAGATTTTCTAGTGCTAATACTTATGAGTATTATATTAACACAAGGCAAAAATAAAATAAAATGAAAATTATAAAAATGAAGTTGTGATTATGAAAGCTAAACTAAGAATAAGATATCTAAAACTAAAATAACAAATACTATAACTAAAACAAAAGATTTAGTATGCTGACTAAACTCTCTAATAGTATTTTTTTAACTGTTAAGCAAACAAAGGGTATATATCAAAATAAAATAAAGCTTTTATACATAAAAAAGCTTACAATAACTTTCTTAATCAAATAAAATATACTTGACTTATTTTAAGTAGAGGGCATCCACTATCTAAGTTTTCAGGCAAGAAAAACTTGTAAATAATTAGAATATAATTTATTATGATAAAAGAGATAAATGAAAGCAAATTATCAAGGCAAAAATTAAAGAAAAATTATAAGATAAGTATAACTCAAGTGTTTTCAAAAGATAATTGAATTATTACTATTCAAGTATATTTATTTCAAGTCTTAGAGCAAAGATATTTATATATCTTTAAGATTTTATAAGTTTCTATTTAAACTCATTTGCTACTTTAGATTATAATTACAATCTTTAGAACAAAGAATTAATAAATAAATAAGTAAAAAAAATAAGATATAAGATATATATGGTAAGTTATAAAATAATACAAATAATAAAATAAAATAAAATAAAAAGATAAGATAGATATTTTAAAAAGAAAAAAATAATAATAAAAATAAATAAAATTCGTTATTGAACTATTTTTGAAGCATTTATAAATCATTATTAAATTATTTATGATCTATTATTAATTTTGGAGCTAAATATTCATTAATAATCTTAAAATATTACAAAAATATTGCAAGAATATTACAAAAATATTATTGAATTGTGATTAAATTCATAACTGATATACTAATTATATTATTTGAAATCACATATTTTCTAAAGATCAATTAATTGGACAAATTTTTCAAGTTTGAAAAATTATGAAATTAAAAAAATTTATGTTACTATGATAATAATATTATTCTTAATAAATTTTATAAATATAAATATATATCAAATAAAATTAATTTTTAAATAATTTAAATAATTTAAATAAAAATTTATTAGTAATTTAATTATATAAATATTAAATAAATATATTTAAACTAATTTGAAAATTAATTTTAATATTAAACTAAAAAAATATAAATTTTTAAAATAATATATCAAATATAATTAGATTTTTCTATAATTATATCTTTTAATAATTATTTTTTTAGTTTTTCAGTTATTAATTAATTATAATTAAAAAAATTTATTTATAATTATATTTCTCTTTAGTTATTTAATTTTATTTTTTTAAGTATAATAATTATAAAAAAATCTGATTATACAATCAAACTCCTTTATAAGAACATATTATATAAGAACATTTATTTATAAGAACCTTATTTCTAAAAACAAATTGATTTTATATATAATTTAACTCTATATAGGAATATTTTAATAATAAGAATATAGAATATATTGTTTGGTCCCAGTTCTAATTAGTCTCTCTCTCAGTAAGAATATAGCATGTGACATTATAATTTATAAAAATATAAATATATTGTTCAGTCTCAGTTCTAATTAGTTTCTCTTTGAATAAGAATATAATACGTAATATTAATCATAATTAGCTAAGCGATTTAGTTATAAATTGCAAGATAACAAATTAGTGAAAAATTACCCTTGCTACTTGCAAGACTCTTTATTAGAACTTTTTTATATGATATATTTTAAACCTCTTCAATTACTTATTTTATTTCAATTACTAACAATTTCTTATATTCTTACTCTATTTTTACCTCATCCCTGTCCTTAAACAATTTTATTTATCCATCCCTGATTAAAACACTTTATTGCTGTATTTTCATTTTTTTCTTTGGTTTTTCTATTATAATATACTGCCTAAAGATCTAATTCACAAAAAAAAATGTGCAGTACTTAGTGATACTGTGCATAAAGAAATAAGCTTATTCTGGATCAAAGCATCACCAGGTACTCACCATGAGGATATAGTCAATTATTTTAATGAAAAATATCCTGGTCTTGATATTACGTGACTAACTATTATAAAAATATTAAAAAAGTCAGATCACTAATGCAATATTAACTTGGATAAAATGTTAGAAACAACTTACAAGTACCATCCACCAAAATTTCTCTTGTTAGAAAGAGTCTTGAATTTTTGGATTGATCAAGTATCTGCTACAGGATTAATTTTAACTGAGATACTTCTTAAAGAAAAGACTAGACATTTTGTCACTCTTTTTGGATTTGGTGAGGATGCTCTTCAATGGTCAAATAGTTAGGTAAGAAGATTTAAAGTGCGTAATAGTATAAAAGCTTTCCAGCTTTATGATAAAGCTAATTCAGCACCAATTGAAAATTTATCTGAAGAAAGAAGAAAACTATGTGAGTTATTATCACAATATAGAACTAAAGACATTTACAATGCAGACAAAACTAGTTTATTTTACTGGATGGCTCTAAACCAAACTCTTGCAAAGTATCAAACTGCTGGCAAAAAAATAGTAAGTTTTTAAAGTTCTTTTATTTATGCCAATATTTTCTCTTACTAATGTATTAATTATATTTAGGATAAAACATGAATTACTATTTTGTTGGCTATAAATATCACTGGAACTCACAAACTCAAATCTCTCATAATTGATACTGCCAAATCTCCATATTCATTTAAGAGAATTAATATTTCCTCATTGTCCATTATGTACTGATACAACTTAAATGTGTGGATACATAGAGAAATCTGGAAAAGTTGGTTAAAATATATTGATGAGGGTTTTCAAATCCAGCAATAACATATACTTTTGCTTGTTGATAATGCTCCATCACATAATACAATCATGAATGTAGATGAATTAAGTAGTAATATAGATAATTTATCTGAGACAATAGAAGAAGATAATGTTAGTTTATTAAGTGGGAAAGAAAATAAACCAATTGCAAAAAGTTCTACCAATGGTCACAGAAAGTGAGATTGATCACGAGGATAAGTGGCTACAAAAAGCAAAAAAAAGGCAAGAAAGCCAGATTATGACTGAAAATTCTTCTCAGCCACCACTCTATCTCACAAACATCCATGTTCATTACCTTCTACCAAATATAACTGCTCACTTGCAACTGCTTGATACAGGAATTATCAAGTCCTTTAAAGTGTACTATTATCAGTATTATTATTATCATGTTCTAGACTAATTTGAGCATAGAATTGACATTGCAAAGTATGTTCTATAATAATTTTAATAAAAAATTGAAAAATTAGTAAACAAATCAATTGTGATCTGTCCAACTTCATCATTTATTAATTTCTTGTTTCTAACTTATTTTCCATTATTTTTCTTCACTCACTTCACTATTCCTCTTCTCCTGCTCCACTATCCTCTTCTCCCACATCACCATTCTCTTCTTCCACTCTACTATTCTTTAACTTATCACTCTTTTTCTATGTTTTTAGGAACAAATTGAATATAAAACAAGTGATTAATTATATTTCTCACACTTAGAATGAAATTACACAAGAAATAATATGAAATTACTAGAATTCAATAGAAATTCTTCCTGAAACCAACACTACAGATACTTAAGCAAATGATATGTTAAATAAAGCTTTAGATACGTGAAATGAGGTTCTGAATTCTTTACATTATCTTGATACTACTAATCAAGCTGTTCAAAATCTTGTTCAAGATATGGAAGTATATATTAATGTTATTGAAAAGCCTATTATGACAGAAGAATTGCTTGAGAATAGTAAAATTGTTGATATGCTTCAGGCTGATGATATAATAGAAAATGACATACTTAATTTGGATGAGAAAAATAAAGAATCTCCACCACCTCCCATATCCATAATGAAAGTGAGTAATGTATTAAAAATCCTTATCACATTTTATAAATAAACAGAAACTGTATTTAGTAATGATAAGATAAAAATATTACATAAAAAGGTACCAATTTTTGAAGTGATGAAAATTAAAGTGAAAAAATAGACAAGTTTGGATGCTTGATGAGTTTAAATAATAATTTTTGTATGAAAATATGTTAACAAGTTTTTTTATTAATAAAACTCCTATATAAGAACTTTACCCAATACTATATATATAATATTCTTATAAAGAGGTTTTTTATTTATAAGAACACCTTTATATAAGAATCTAATTTTCTGGTCCAACCATATTCTTATAAAGAGAGTTGACTATACTTAAATAATTTTAGAAAAAGAAATCTTTATAAATTAATATAAAATTATAATTATATATAACTAATCACAATCAACTAATATTTCTAAATTCTAATTATTTATAGATTTTATAAATTATTATTACAGATTTATAATTATAATTATTTTACTATTATAATATTTTTATATAAAGATTAAAAATATATTTAAAATAAGTTATAATAAAAAAATATTTAATAATTTAAAATAATATCTTATTATTATTTCAATATTAATTTTATTTAATTTATAATTATCTTTTATTATTATAATAAATATATAAAACTTTACTATAAATATTATATTTAGTTAAAATTATAAAAAAAGAGAATAATTTATCATATATAAAATTATATAAATTAAACTTTTGCTAAATAGAATTATTTAAAATTTCTTATATTATTAATTTTTAAAAATCATACTTATAAAGATAAAGCTCTATTATTATTACTAATTATATATTACTTAAATATATAATAACAATCAAAAATAATAATTTAGAAGCTAAATTTACTAATAAAATATAGTAAAAATTGAAATTTTCTCTCTATATAAAAATTTATAATTTTAATAAGAAATAATTTTTACTTTTATATTAAAATAAAGTTTATTAGTTGTAGTTTAATATATATTTTTTTCAAATTTTTTAGATTTTTTCTAAAAGAGTTATTCTAATTGTAAAGTTAATATAAAAATTTTTACTAATTAAAAATAAAATTTAATTAATAAAAATTTTTATATTAATTTTATAATTAGAGCAACTCTTTCAGAAAAAATCTAAAAAATTTAAAAAAAATATATATTAAACTATAATTAATAAACTTTATTTTAATATAAAAGTAAAAATTATTTCTTATTAAAATTATAATTTTTATATAGAGAGAAAATTTCAATTTTTACTATATTTTATTAGTAAATTTAGCACCTGAGTCATTATTTTTGGTTATCACTATATAAAAATATAATCTATCAAAAAAATAATTATATTAACTTAAAACTTTATAAATAAATAATTTTATTATAAAATATAAATTAAAAAAAGAAAATATTATAACAAATATATTATTAAGAATTTTTTAAATAAATAATAATAATATTAAAATAATTATTTCATATTTATTATTTAAATTAAAAAATAATAAAATTTATTTGAAAAATACTTATTAATTAATTATTTTAAAAAATAAAATATTAAGAATTTATATTTTGAAAAATATTATAATATTAATATTATTAGATATCTTAATATTAATAAAATTTATAAATAAATATAATAATATTTTTATTAGTTAAAATTAAAAATAAAATTGCAAATAATTATAACTTAATTATAATTTTTTAATTAACTATTATAATTAATTATAATTAAATTATAATTTTTTAATTAAACATTGCAAATTATAGATTAATGCAAAAAGATTTATATATTAATATAAAATTAAATAATTACTTCTAATAAAAATCATTCAAATTTTAACTAATCTTTATAATTTTTTTATATTAAAT